GTGTCAAATCTAGTATCCCTTTACAGGGACTTGAGAATACTAGCGCTCTTCCCGAAGACAAAAGGAAAGATAAGAAGGTAATAGAAACCCCTTCACAGGGAATATTCAAACCTATTATTGGTAAAAAAGATATCAAAAACAGCGAAAATAGCTCTTCATCGAGCCAAATTTCACCTGAGCTAAATATTGGAAAAATTAATCCGAAAGAAATTATCAAGATATGCCATGTGGTAAAAATATCCAAAAAAAATAACTATGAAGAATTTATTTTCTTTATTGTTGTTTTTAATATCTTATCTGATTGGTACTTAGAAGTTGGAAAGTGGATGAAGACTCTCCACTATGGTAGATACAACAAGATAAACTTTTATCCAGAAGCACCAGCCAATTGGATAAAAAATTGCTTTGAATTGGGAAATATACTTTGTATATATCCTAGCGAAGATCTCAAAGAGATAGCACAACTTCCAACTGATGTCAGGAAGGCAGTAAAAAGATATACTGAAGTTGTCAAAACTATAAACATATATATCATATTCCACTCTGCAACAGTGGAATGCGATCCAGATCTTCAATATATGCAACCAGCATTCCATGTTATAAAATTAGGACTCACATGTCAACATTTTTTACCAACGGTCAAAAGGTTGTTAAAAATGGTTATCAGGATATTATTAATATGATGCCATATAGAAGAGCCAAAGGATACAAAGAAATATTTGAACATTTAACTCAGTTAATTAGCGAGAAAGAAAAAATATAGGTTTATCCATCTGAGGAACATATAATCTATTCTAATGTCAGAAAAGAGACAAAAGAAAAAGATATATGTTTTCTCGACCATTGATTATCAAAGATAATTTCAAATCAAGTTTGTGGAATAGAAAAGATGGAAAAAAACTATGCAAATTACTTTGGGATTACAGTGATCATCATTGTGAACATTGCGTAGTTGAAGATATGAGTCAAGCATCACTCAACAGTGAAGAATTCCCCGCAGAGTTTTTTGATTCGAGGATGAAAAAATAAATGGAGCTAAGACAGTGACCCTTTTTATCACTACTTTAATAAAGTATCTTTATTAAAGAAAAATCGTGGTCACTAAAAGACAGAAGATAGTACAAGAAAGTAGCTGAGATTATAACTCTCTACAAACTGATGGAGAAAATAATGCAAAGTTGCTGTAGAAAATAAGAAGAGTTGGTATGATTATAACTCTTCACCCACCTACCAGCTTAAAAGAAGGATAGCTAATATTACCCAACAAAAGAAGATGGCAGACCAAGAAATAAGAAAAGACAGCTATGAAGATAAGGTTCCTTATCACTAAAGGAAAAAATTGCTATATAAGGAGAGGAGGTTAAGGAGGAAAGACAGATTTGAAAGATCCTCGATTCTCTATCCCAGAAAGAAATACCATCTCAAACCATTTACTATTTTGTAATCTGTATACATCACTTGTATTCAGATAAACTATTAACTAGTCTTGAAGATAGCAAAGCTTGTAATAAGGTAATCACTTATCAAGTTCTAAACTTCATAAGGTGAGTACCAAAGGTATGTAAATATAGTAAGCAAGCATGTATTATTTCAGTCCTATGAATATAAAGATGAAGTTTATTATGATTTAACAAAGTCTCCTTGAAAGGATTTCATTAAGTTTCTCATGATTCCTCGGCAGTACAAATAGAGATTTTAAAAGATTTTCAAAACATTGTTTTGAATGGTTGTTAGCCATGCCAAAGTACCCGTCTTTGATGAGTGTTTTAGGGGAAAATGGCAGTTTTCTAACAAAATTGTAGCACCTTGTGTGTGAGTTATCTNATAAGAACATACTGGAGGAAAAGCCTATTTATTTCCATCGATTACTGTAAGTTATTTACATGCTTTTATATGCTTATGTTTTAATTACTATTTATCTTTATGAACACTTCACAAACATCCACATCTAATGATAATTGTTTTAAATTGTATTTGGATGAAAAAGATACTTCATTCTTGCTTAGTATAATTGAAAATTTTGAAGATATAGTTCCCGTTGGCCAAGAAAAACTTGAAAAAATATATTCTTATATAGATTAAGATTGTAAACATAATATAAGAATTGATTTTGTAGAAATTAGTAAAGAAATAAAGAAAGTTGAAGATGTTATAGCTAAATACGAAAATATAGAAGCAGAAGTTTCTGAATGAATTGTTTTTGAATATATAACTAAAGAAAATCAACATAAAACTTATATAGAGAATATTTAGAACAGATAGAAAGGTTAAAAGAACATCGTATAGATTCTGATTAATGAATCAAGAGGAAAGATAAAATATTGAAATATTTGAAAAAATCCAGGATAATACCAGTAAATTAAGATCTAGAGAAATTAGAAAACTTCTTGAAGAACTTAGAAGCAAAAATAATATAGAAATGAAAGATAAAATCCTAAAAACTATAAGATATCACAAATATAAAATCCTAAAAACTATAAGATATCACAAATACGAGCAACGACAATACTTGATTTGGTTACAAGAAAATACTGAACTAAGATTCCCAGAACATACGATCCAAACGAAAGAATTTTAAGATATAATACTAAACGGTCTAACAATTAAGAGATACAGGGCATATTCTACAAATAGAGAAAGGAAGGGTAAAAAAGAAATTTTAACAGTAAAAAATATTATTCTGTAAAAGATTAGGTAACAAATTAGGTACATGTAGCACGACCATTAACTCAATACCGAATAAAATAAGTTTTTCGTCATTGTTATTGAATTCTGTTAAACAGTACTTACTTTTGACAAGAATTCAAAATGTCTTCTTAATCGAAGTAATGTATACTAATTTTGGTTAATAATCATTGAAAAGAATGTCCCAAAAGCTACAAACTCGAAATGCCCTAAAAATTCGAAAATTCGAAGGCAAAACTCAACTGAAAATTACTACAAGTTCGTTTGATTGATTTAAATTCTATGAAAAACGTTACATTGGAAGAATTTAATTTCTACTTTTTGACTGTTTGTTACGAAAGTGAAAATGAAGTTCGAATTTCAAGGTGCAACCACTTAAACTTATTTTTTGTCAATTTCATGAAAAATACATTTTTATGAGGTAGTTGAATTTTTATTTTCCAGCTTACATGAAATTGGAAAATATTTCCACATTTATCAATCAAACATAACCTACTTTTCACAAGAACTCAAAATTTTCTTACAAAAAGCTACAAAACCAAAATGCCATAAAACTTCGAAACATACAAAGTCAAAATTCCAGCTCAAAACCACCTACTTCCTACATGAGTTAAAAATTCTTCTTAACCGATACGATGTACAGTGATTTTGACTCTTGATTAATAATCATTGAAAAGTATTAACATCCTAAAACATAAATATAAACCCAAAATTCCTTAAATTTCATTCATATACTTAACTCGTAGTCGTAGTCTGGCACATTTCTTGATTGCCAATTTCTGCGCCATTTCTTGCACAAATAATTATGATAGTATGAGAATAGATCTCAAAAATCTCTCGTTAGCACCCTTCTGAGTTACAACGTTCTCTCAAAATTTCGAAATCGACTGTCAAAACTGAGAAAATCAACTTAAATATCCAAAATATTGGCAGGGAAAACATTTCTTGAAAGGGAAAATCTTTTATATGTCTTGAAATTGTAACCTTTTTTTTTTTTAAGAAAATGAACGAAGGGAGGAGGGAAGAAATGTGCATCATACTCAAGCTGTTTGACATTGTATATTGATATATGCCTCCACTTTATTATTAAAAAACTTAATAACAAAATTTTATCATATTGAATTCTGGTGTACATTAGTTTGCCTTGTAAAAGAAATAATAATTGTTATTGTCTTATTGGATGTATAAACATAAAAAAGTGCCTTAGATAAGTTTCAAGGATTGATTAAAAAATGAATAAAGCCAAAAGCATTATTTGGAATGATAATGATAATAAATATTTGATTTTGACTTTTTATTTTGTTGAATTTTAATTAAGTCAAAGGCTGCTAATTCAAATCAATATTATACTACGATGACGAACAACTATAGGGACCTTAAATATATTTTTAGCCTTTAAGTCGACATCAACATTAGGATAATTCAAAGAAATGAGGGGGGAAATTTTGTATTCTATAGTCATTGTCATTTGACAGCAAATTTGCTTATTTTAAGTTTCTGTTTATGTAAATGACATTTTGCTTTCGCTCTTGTTAGGTCGACAATATTTAATGTAACTTAGCAAAATTTCTTTCTTCAATTCAAGTTTTGATGTTACCTATTTACTAATATTTGCACTTGTGTGTGTGTTTCGTTTCATTTTTTGATGAAAAGTGAAATTAAAATGAATATATTAATCCCCTAACACTTTCAATAAGTCCTTTGATGAAGGAAGAAACACAATTTAAAAACATTGTTAGTTATGTAATTGTCTAATCATATGTACCTCCAATTTGCCAAACTTTACTTGGTTGGTAAGGCAAGTCTTCTTTGTTAAAGATTTTTTATAATCAGTTTTTTTTTTTTTTTCAAAATCATTTTTAATCACACAATTTACGGATTCACAACTTTAAATTTGTGTCAAACAAGCTTTAAATTTCCAATCGATGTTTCTCTAATAAGACAATACACTTCTGTAAAAACCAAATGAAATAGGCATACATAGTAATCTTGGCAAAAATACAAAAAAGAATTAGATATGAATTCAGAAACTATGTATTACTTCATTAGACATTGCTATATATGATGGCAAGGTTCAAATCTTCTTGTAATATTACTTGGAAACTCATAAATTCTGAAAGAAAATACATCAAAGAAAAAGGTACACAAAAAGTACAATAAGATGATAATCTAATTGTGGAAACCAAAAACTTATTTTGACTGATAGAGAGGGAGAGAGAGAGTGTGTGTGTGTGTGTGTGTAATGAAGATATACTGAATCAACACAACGAGAACATGAGAACTTGTGCAGTTTATTATATACATGAATCACAATTTTATGAATCTGAAACTAAAAGCGCATCCCAGATGCTGTCCATGTCGAGGGATGGCATTCTGCTTAACTGAACTGTATCAATATCTGATATCCCTTCTTGGCTCACTTGGTTCAATCCTTCAACTTTTTTCTCCAAATCCGGGAATGGCCATTCCTTTCTTGCTGGACTTTGGATCGAACTTTTCGACTCTTCATGCAAAAATGGCTTTGTTGGTGATGTTGATGGTGGATCAATGGTCTTAATTGAAGTGGCCAGAATTCCTTGTGATGATATTGCTTGCAACTTGGCTTCAAGAAGCGCGGCAGTATTCTTACTCATGGAACTGGCCTTAATCTGATGCTTTAAATCTGGAAAATTTAGATGTGCATAATCTCCTCTTAGAATGTAAGCTGCTGTATCATAAGCAAAAGCAGCTTCTTCTGCAGTGTTAAAAGTCCCCAACCAAACCCGTGTTCGATTTCTCGGTAATCTTATTTCTGCAACCCATTTTCCCCAGTGCCTTTGTCTCACTCCTCTATAAATCTTTTTGGAGGAAGAAACTGATGACGATAAACAAGAATTCAACTGCAGCTGGCTATTTGGGATTCTTCGTTTCATCGCTTGAGTTTTAGTAGTGCTGAGCCAATAATCACTGAAAACTTTTGGGTTATAATTTGCTATATTCTGATAGATCTTCAACCAATCTGGCCCTTCCTGAAACTGATAATATTGCTCAAGTTGAGACACTGAGAATACTAGGGGTGCAGGCTTCTGAATCTCTCTGGCAGGAGATTCTTCTGCTCTTTTCAGGATAGATGGTTCCTGTAGAAACAAATTTAGATTTGGGAATTTTGGATCTGCACAAGATTCAGATACATGTGATTCATTTAAAGTTGGGAAAGATTCAAGAAAATTCAAAGGAACATAGCTTCCTTCCGCAGGAGATCCATCAATCTGATTGACAAGATTAAATCCAGGAAGAAAAGAGTGTTCCTGATGATATCCTTCGAACATATTTTCATCTGAAAACCTTGTGTTGAAAGCAGCAGAAGATTCTGAACCTGAAACCACTTTATTATCCGGCAAGGGTCGAGTTGATTTTGCATCGCAGCCACCATCACCGCCGCTAAAAGATGCCTCATTTAGGCCCAGAAAGATGTTGGGATGTACCATAATTTTCGATTTATCAGCAATTCCTTTTAAAAAAGATGGTAATTCTTTCTGCATGAAGGTTTCCATCTTAGGAGATTTATTCTTCATTCCAAATTAATGCGAATTACAGAAGAAACAAGCAAAGAAATAGAAACAACGCAAAATGTAGGCACTGTTACACAGATATATAGCTAGTTAATTACACAGTAGCTTATTTTGCTATATAATATTGTATCATCACTTAAGCTCCTGGGCCATATAGATTTTGGGACAAAATATGTTTTTGAATAGCAACCCTGATCTCCAAATTTCAGTGGATAAGATAAAAACTTTCAATTGTTGATATGGCAAGAGAATCTTGAGAACCCTAAGGAAAATTTTCTTACCATGTCAATTTCATTCGAAATAGTACTTTTTGGAAAATGTTGAAAAAAAAAATGTTTGGTTTTATACAATCTTATTTTGCTATGTAATATTATATCATCACTTGAGCTCCTGGGCTATAGATTTTGTGAGAAAATATGTTTTTGAATAGTAGCCTTGATCTCTAAATTTCAATGGATAGGATAAAAATTGTCAACTGTCGATGTGGCAAGAAAATCTTGAGAACCATAAGTAAAATTTTCTTACCACATCAATTTTATTTGAAATAATTTTTTTTGGAAAATGTTAAAAAATAAGAAAAATATTTGGTTTTATATGTAATATTATTTTATGGAAGGATACATGATTGAAATTTGATAATAAATTTTGAAAAACGCATTTTTGAAAAAACAAGGACCCCAAACTTATTTTCCATAGAAAATGGAAAAAAAAAAAAAAATCATTTCCATGTTAAACACTGATGGGCAAATTTTGGCATGGAAAATGTTTTCCCACCCCCCGTCCCCACCCATGAGCCCCTTTTCTCCTTTTTAAGGAATTTATTTTCCTAACTTTTTGATTGGAAAATGAATTCCAGCTTCTGGTTTTTTTTTTAGGCAATGAAAATAAATTTCATAACCAATTGTAAAAAAAAAAAATACTTTAATGGACAATTTTCATGTAAAACGAAGTCAAACGAACACTAAACTTTGATGAAAAAATAGTTTTTGAGCAAATTTTTTTTTTTTTTTTTTTTTTTTTTTTTTT